CACAGCACTGCAGAGCACAGAGACCAGAGACACAGTGAAACACAGCACTGCAGAGCACAGAGACCAGAGAGACACACAGTGAGACACAGCACTGCAGAGCACAGAGACCAGAGAGACACACAGTGAGACACAGCACTGCAGAGCACAGAAACCAGAGAGACACAGTGAGACACAGCACTGCAGAGCACAGAGACCAGAGAGACACACAGTGAGACACAGCACTGCAGAGCACAGAGCTCCGAGAGACACAGTGAGACACAGCACTGCAGAGCACAGAGCTCCGAGAGACACAGTGAGACACAGCACTGCAGAGCACAGAGCTGAGGGTGAGAGAAACTACAAGACACATACGAAAGAGTGACATGGTACAGAGAAACAGGCAGCTAGTCTTTTCTCCCTAGACTGCTGAAAGTCATCCAACTGTCTAACTCATTAGCAATCCCTGACCTGACATAACAGGCCTGAAATGAAACAGGCTCTCAATGCTCTCTAAATGATTTTTTTCACTCTGTAGCATGTCTCAAACTTCAAGGTTCATGCCTGGTGACCTGGAAGAGCTATAAAGGCAAAGATTAATCCGCCATTAATCAGAGGTTATTCAGTGCCAATCCAACTGTACAGTATATGGCAGGGATGGAAAATTTCATAATATGAATGCAATCTTTACCCTCTGTGTAGAAATCTGGTGTTGTCTGGTTTATCGGTCTGCTGTAGGTCATTCAAGTGCCTAACTCGATAGCAAAAATCCCTGACTTGATATAACCTAGATATAAGCCACAACTGACTTAAAAACTAATATACCCATCTGTAAGAAATAGACGTATCCGTGAGAAAAAGGAGAGTTTAATAAATAAACTGCCACTACAGATTCTGAAGCCACGAGATCAGTCAGAATTTCCTTTCCCTGTTTTTCTGTTTAGACAAGAGTGTACCGAGCCGGGGAGCTGTACAGATGTGAGGTGTCCCTTCTCAAGGTGCAAACTCATGTCCAGAATAAGAAATGCATTAGAAATACACTGTAGTACAACCTGCAGTATTCCACATAGCAGACTAACGGAATGAACTATATTTCAAAAAGGCGAAAGGTATATCTGTTGTCTAAAAATATGGCACATTAACTCAATGTATTCACTGGTCCGACCAGCTACCTGGGTAAACAAATAGTCTTTCTGGTTTTGGGAGATGCGATTCAGAGGACAGTCTGGCATGAACACATTTGAAAAACGCCTATTTTCTGGTGACTGGTTAATCTTCGGTATTTGCCGCACTTTAAGCTTTGTGGTTTTTGAATGTTATTGCAGTGTTATGTGCTTCTACTGCATTGTGCAGTGTTTGGACAGTCTCACTTTCAAAGGTGCTGTAGGAGAATTAGGATTACGATGTAGCAGATTGTTAGCTTGGGCTTTTCGAAACCGTCTGGCATCTTAGCAATGGACCTGAACTCTTCCAAACAGTTCTTCTGACAAACACAAGCGATGCTCAGCCTTATTTTAATGAATGGTTTCACTGTGTCAGAGAGGTTTTACTGTGTTTTGTATCTGCACTTTCCATAGAGGTCTTAAAAAATCCACTTCAAACTGTTTCCGATAAGGATCTTTGGACAGGAATGAATTGTATGGAAATTGCTTTTTATTAGCGCTTGGTCCTAGTGAAATTTGGACGAGCCCCCCGGCCGGCCCCTGCAGAGGGAGGAGAGATTGGTGGGGGGGGGCAGCCCAGGTGGAGATGAGGAGATGAGGAAGAGGAGGACGCGGGTGACGAGGCTCACGTGTGGTACTCACTGCGTGTTTTCTTTCTCATTTAGGAAACGGTGACAAGAGTGATTAGGAGCTTCAGCGGTTCTGGGGTGAGATTGATTCGGCTGCTGTCATTCTGCCCCAGACTTTCACTCCAGCCAGGACTGTCCCCCGGGGACACTGTTGTCCTACGTGGATGCAGCACACTGCGGAGGGCTGCTTTCCCCCGTGTCTATTTCCCCCCGGGTCGCGGCGAGTGTGTCCGATAGGAGCCGGAGCTGCGTGTCCGGGTCTGGGCCGGGACAGCTGAGATCGGCCGGCGTGTGTTCGGACTCGGTGAGAGCCCCCGGCCCCCTGCACTAATTCAAGCGTGGCAGCAGAGCGGACGTGCGGCCCCCTTGGGGGGGTCTCAGTGTCTGTGTGAGCGCCCCCCTGCCCCGGCCCTTACCTGAGCGAGTCTCTCAGCCTGTGTGCCAGCGGGGCCTGGGGTCCCGGCTCCCTCCGCTGTGCCACCTCCTCCAGGGTCTCCTCGTCCAGCACCCGTCTCTCCACACTGTATTCCAGGCTCCTCTGCCTCATGTCTGCCCCTCCGCCTCTCATAGTGCTGCTGCCCGGGACTGTTCCACTCTCTG